GGCGGCTGCCCCCGTTGGGCCCTTCATGGGTCCGCCCCTGATTACATCCCAATTTTTTTTATCAAGAAATAATGCCAAAAACCAACCATATTCAGATCAAATCTCCCATGGAATGATACAATTCCAGATTATGAGTTTAGCCCCCGTTTGAGCGACATTATATTTTTCATTTTTATTTTTCAACCACACATCTTTCAATAAAATAATATTTTTCATCACATCAGTAACTTTTCCTTCTTTATCAACCACATATTCCCAATACACCACCCAAAAAAATGCATTCAAACAAGAATAGGCATCTCCTGTTGATATTGACTCTTTTTCACTTGTATATATATATTTCTATTGTAATCATTCCATGGGTGGGATTTCAACTGTTTCCGTTAAATGCTCCACTCTTTCCCTGGGCTAGTCTTCTCCTTTAAGTTTAGTCCACCGAGTCAAAGAACATCAAGTCCTCTCCCTATTAAAACAAATAAAATGAGGAAAATTTATTCTAATTTTTCCTTGTTATTGCGCGTTAAGAATTAAATGCTATAAGAATACCAAGTCCTAGAAAACAATTTTCTCCAAAGAATACCAAGTCCTCAGCTTCATTTAATTTCTCCGTCAAAATAAATAAATAAAATATAAAATCAGAAAGTAATTGATTAAGATTGGTACGAACAGAACGAACACGTACGCTACGCTAATATGTAATTGCCATCTTTCAGAAAATGACTCCACAGAGCAAAAATTACCTCTTCACTTTGAAATCTTCAACTAATTTTCTATGAATAGTTTACAGATAGATAGTTCATAGCCACACAAGTCACTTTTTATACATACTTATGAGAGATTCCCCTTTACCTTTCCCTGATCGTAGTCTATTTATCTTCTTTATTATGCTTGCTTATTTTTAATTTTTATCAGTAATAATTATTTATTTAAAAATGTATTTGTTTGAACTAATGTTGTAAAACCCGGCACAGACTATCAATTCAGAAGGGGAAAGTTTCATGTCGAGCATCTTCAAGAGACTCTTTAAAATAAAGAGAATATCATTTTTAATTTAGTTAAATACATTCAAAGTGTTTCAATTTTCATTGTAGGAAAAAAATAAAATAATCTAAAGAAAAACTAGTTAAAATAAAAGATAAAGAAAATAATAAATATTTTTTGGGAGTAGTAAAATTAAATGTTTAATATAAAGAGATTGTTGGAGTACTCTAAATTTATAAATGCTCTCCAAATGATATAATATACTCTTTAAA